AATCAGTACTACACTTTTGAGGTCAGTGAATGATGCATTTGTACTTTCAGCCTTTTCTGAAATATCAAGTTGTAAAGCCCACCACAAGAGGACTTTGATACAAAGCTGGCCAGACATCTTGAATAACAAAATAACATGAGGTACACAGATATAAAGCAGGTCAAAGGAAACAAGAGCAACAAAGCAGGAATAACTCGAGTTCCACATGGACGTAAAAACAAGGCTTCAGTAACAAACCAGTTCAGAAATACCGAAATTCTCCCTTTTTACCTCTGCGTTCCCGCTGGACCCAGTCAGCTGAGGCAGGAGCAGGGACTGGTCCTTGTGGGCCCTTATGAAGACTCAAACCAGAATATCCTTCTTCTAGCCTCTCTCTCCCTTCAATGTGTTCTCCCTGAAGAAGCAGTAGTACTTATGGTTAAGGTATCCATTATCAAGTTAACCCAAATTAAATAGTACATTATACAAAAGATAAATCCATGTATATTCTACAATCTAATAAGGGTGCTTGCTAGTAAAACCAACAAAATTAAACTTTCATATTTCTTAGCCTAATAAATACCTGACTGTGATAATCTTCCCTTGATGGTCCACTTCGAGTATAAAGTGGATTATTTATAACCTCTTCTTCACGAATTACAGCTTGGTAGGGAGTAACAATAGTGTTGGGAACATGCCCAACCTGGTGACGGTAATTTCTTGCTCTCCACCACTTTCTACTGTCATCAACAACCTGTACCAAACAATCAACATGTTCTGAAACAACAGTTTGCGCTATCATGAACAAAATTGACTTTTTCTAAACACAGAATGTTTACAGTCAGAAGTTATTACACAAGCTTGATAAAACCCACAAATGAAAGATTTCAGTTAACACACACACACACACACACACACTTAATTTTCCTCAATGTCGCATCTTGATGGGAGTTAACAGAAGTAATAGTGTATCTTTCAATTCGTTATTATCAAGCTACATATCAGACCATTTTTAATCAGATGAGAAATCTAGAGTAAAGCAATTCACTCTTACTAAATATCACAAGATTGCTGTCCAAAATGTTTCCAAATATAAAGCATGCAAAAAATTATACTTCAAGAAAAACTTATAAAAACAAGGATGCTCACATCTAACACCTCCCCTCTCACTACAGACAATTCTTTGTCATTGTTGGCTGTTCTTGGGTAAAGCACTACAACAATCTTGGCTCCAGCAGCCTTCAGTTCTTCCAACCATCTCTGTTGTTCAATGTCGAACTGTCGATGAGGATCAATGCCTTGTTCAATAGAATCAGTACTCACATCTGATCTTGAATCTCTGAAGTCTTGTTCATTTCTGATGAAAAATGGGGTTAATTTGAGTTATTTGTGATGAAGAAAAATATTAAGCAGTTGCAAGACAAGCAAAATTTGTATATTAATAGAGTGTATTACTTGTCAGTGCATTCATAAAATGTAAATCACCTTTCCTAAAAAAGAAATTTATTTCACATAAACATAGTATTCCCAAAATCAGGTGAAAAACATGCATCAGAATGAAGCTCTAATTCAAATTTTTCCTCCACCTTTTAGCATTCTATTTTTAAACTTTCTCTATAGTGAGGGTTTTGCGTTGTTAGCTTATTGTATGGAGTTAGGACTAATCTAAATCTCCTAAACTGGACAAACCTTGTGTGATATTATTCGGTTTACATCTACAAATATGATTAAAAGCTAAGATAACCAAATGATGAGAAAATGCATTCTAATCATTGTAAGTAAGAATATACGAAAAGCATATTCAATTAGCTATACTCATTACTATGTTCATGTTTAGTTTTACTAAAAATAGGTAACATTCTCTGGTCAGAGTTTATATTAATCAGGATATCAAGGGTGATCCTGAAAATATCAGAGGTTGAGATGATAATTTAATACAACTCTTACCTCTCTGGAACATTTAGGTGCCGAGGCTCATATTGGCGATTATCAAATGTCGAGGGATGAATATCAGGAGCTGTCGGCTGACGGTCTCGCTCGCCTCTGTAAAAATAGTCACTTTCATATGGACTGTCTTGATCTAATGATGGTAAACCAACTGGTCTTCGAAACTCCTGTAAATAAAAAAAAAATGATTATCTTTCATCCTGAAAACACAAGAAAGCGAACAAAGACAAGCAAAAGTATTGATAATGTAGATTTTGTGTTAAAAGTCTATAAAGGTTAGAATATGTGAAGGTAAACAGATAATTCTGAAATTAACTGAACATTTGTAATTAATAACCAATATAACAAGCCAAGAAAAAAGATTAGACCATACTAACAATACTTCTACTAATAACTAAAAACATCATAAGTTTTTATAATCTATTCTGCAATTCCTTCAATACAAGCATGTTGTCAGTGATTCCCTAGTGATGAAGTTATGTTGTGTGAAATTATCAAACGATGGATATTCACAACATTACAACAACATATTCCACAACACGGCACTACATTAAACTGGGGACTTTTACATTATGTACTACATGATAACAACAGGTTCAATAGTGTGGAACCACATCAAACTGGGACTTTTACATTATGTACTACATGATAACAACAGGTTCAATAGTGTGGAACCACATCAAACTGGGACTTTTACA